TCAACTTTGTAAGGTTCTAGAAACATTGAATTTATTCTCTGTTCCCTGGAGGAGGTCTTCTTGGTCCCTAAGTATAAAGAAAGCATGGTAGAGACAAGATTTAGAGAAGTGCCTAGAAGATGCTAAGCGAATGATAAGCTGCTGTTGTGATCAAATAGTACAAGAAGCAACTGTGGAGGTGCTGGGATTCTCATGTGTCTCAGGCACACAAAAACTCAGGCAGGACTGTCTGAGCTTTGTCCTTATTGTCACAGAAATCAGCAGATCTGTTTATTGAGAACAGCTCAGATTCTCCTGCAAGACAGTTCTCAGGCATCCGTATCTGCACATCTCTCTTTCCTCCTGTCTAGAGAATGGTCCTCCCTATTCAGTACCAAGGCCAAGGTTTTTTCCTATATTGCTTAAACCATTATTCATACCTTGTCATTCTGTTTCTGCAGTGACTTCCTGGAGGGCCCTATATAGAAAGGATTCTTTATCTCACCCTTCAAAGCCTTGCTTGCTGCCAGCTTCCCTGCTACCCACTGGATTCCAGCCAGGCCGTTTCCCAGTTCAGGGCCTCTGCAGATGCTCTTCCTGTCCCTTCCCTGGCTTTGGCATAGATTGTTCCTTCTCACACTTTGTATCTTACTCAGACAGGCTTTATCTAAAGTTGCTTCCCACCTCCTCTTCTCTTTCTCTCTTTTCTGTTTCCTGTGAACTCCTCACAGTTCTTTTATATCTGTTCAGTCTTATCTGTTTATTCATCATACTGGTAGTTCCAGGGAAGGGGATGTCTGTTCCTTTGTCTCCCTGATGCCTAACACAATGCACATCGTGTATTTTGTGCTTGATAACTAGTGAGTGAGGGCTAGGAGTGTAGCTCAGTTAGTAAAATGCTTGCTTTAGCATGCATGAAGATCTAGGTTTGAGCTTCAGCATCCTATAAAACTGGTGTGGTGGTACACACCTGTTAGCCCAGTGTTTAAGGGGTAGAGTCAGGAGGCTCTGGAGTTCAAGGTCATCCTTGGGTACTTGGTGAATTCATAGCTATCGCAGGGTACATAAGACTCTATCAAAAAAAAAAAAAGTAAGAGGCTAGATAAATGATTCAGTGGTTAAAAGACCACCATACCGCTGTTGCAGAGGACGCAAGATGGGTTCTTACTTCAGCTCCAAAGGATCTGACACCCTCTTCTGGCGTCTGCAGGTACCTGCACTCATGTGCACATACTCACACACAGACATATACATGTACATAGTTAAAAACTAATAAAATATTCCAACGAATAAATGGGCATGATGGTGCTTGCCTATAATCCTGGCACAGATCACTGTTATTTGAGGCCAACCTGCTCTAGGTACAGAGTTCCAGGTATCTAGATCTTTGTAGTGAGACCCTGTCCTCCTCCCCTCACCCCTTCAAAACAAAATGAACAGCTACATGAGCTGCTGGTCTCAGTCTCTTCTGTCTGTCTTTGAAGATCCTTTCTCTTTCCTGTCTTGGAACCTGATATTTCCTCAAGTTGCCTTCCTTCCATCATTACCCCCCATGCTCTTAGTTCACTTGTTTCAGAGAGCCTTCTGCCTTTTCTTGTCTGTAGGACAGGATGCTGGCAGGCACCAGGAGCCTTGTTACCAGAGCTGATGTCTTTTCTCCAGAATTTGATTTTGCTATAGAATCCCATACTGTTAGTCATCTACATTTTCCCTCTAAGACATTCTTGCATCCCTTGACCATCACAGTGATTAGCAGAATCTAGACTCTGACCCACAATACACCATTCCTTAACCTCTCTCAAGTTTTGACACCCCCATCAGAAAAGAGAGAATATAACAATTCTTCCCTTAGTTAACTTGCACTAAGTTTCTGTTAATGATGTAAGACACCAGTTTTTCTGTTGGTAGAGTGTTTATCTAGCACATGTATATTCTTAGGTTCTATTCATTCCCACCACCACATAAACCAGCTATGGTAGTAAATATCAAAAATCTTACCACTTAGGAGTTGGGGGCAGAAAGATCAGGAGCTCAAGATAATTCTTGGTTGTATACCAAGTTTAAGGCCAGCCTTGGATATAGGAGAGCCTATCTGAAACAAACAAACAAGAAGCATATTTTTAAAAGAAGGGCTTTGAATGACAGAACTCCCCCCAAGACCCATAGACCATCTAACAAATCCCAACACCAAGTATGAGAAGCCCTTTTATGAGTTATTGGTCAGAGGAGTTCAAAAGACTCCTAAAACATTATAGGCTATTGCTGTTGCCCTTGATTGCCTCCCAGAGGTTGAGTGTATGTCCCTATGAATAAAGATACCATATGCTTCAGACAAGGTCCTGGAAGATCTGAGATGGATCTGACCTGAAAACTTCCATCCTGAGAAACGTCTTCCATGAGACCAGAAGTTGATGTGAAAGCATCCAAGAGAGGGAAGCAACCAACAGCCCCACCTAGATATAACATGCATCAACTACAACAACCTTCAGCTTGGCACATTAACCCTAAAGGTGTAATAATTAATATCTTGGTGGTTACCAACAGCTCTCTTATTAGACTTAAGGCCCACTTGACAAGAAAGAAAGGAATCACTCCTGGAACCTCACCTAATACGCTGCATTCTAAAGGTCTAGCCTTATAACCACAGATAAGTGTAGTCCTTACCCTCAAAAAAAAAAAAAAAAAAAAAAAAAAAAACTTCTTATTGCAACAGAACATTATAGGAATTATAGGAAGCTACAACCAACCAAAATGTAGACAATAAGTGATAATGCAGTGCCCAACCCCAACTGATCCATCTATAACACAACTCCCACACCTAAGGCTCAGGAAGCATCTCCAAAGAGAGGATAGTAACATTGAAAAAGCCAGAGAAACAACATCTGTTACAAGATTGCAGCTCCTACAAGCATCAGGAAGGCTGCACCTGAGAAGTTTCAACAACATGGCTGCTGCCTAAACAAGATCTGAAGAAGGAGAGCATGCTAACATGGGCGGAGGATTTCACAGGGCCCCAACAAAGAGCTACAGGCAACTAAGGAATGCTGAGAGAGGGAGAAACTGTCATCCTTAGGGAAGAGCCCCCAACTGGTTATCCGATACCAAATGGTCAGCCCTGGAATCATAAGTTTACAGGTAACATATTCCAGACTGAGCAGGTTGTATGTATACATTTAGAAAATACTTACATATGTGTGTGTGTTTCACATATATATCCTATTTCTCTCAAACAGAAAGAGACCGAGAATTTGAAAGAAAGCAAGGGGCAGGGTATATGGGAGGGGTTGTTAGAGGGGAGGAAAGTAGAAAATGATGTAATTTTATATATATATATATATATATATATATATATATATATATACATACATATATATTGTTTTGTTTTGTTTTTCTAGACAGGGTTTCTCTGTGGTTTTGGAGGCTGTCCTGGAACTAGCTCTTGTAGACCAGGCTGGTCTCGAACTCACAGAGATCCACCTGCCTCTGCCTCCCGAGTGCTGGGATTAAAGGCATTTGCCACGATGGCCCAGCTATTTTTTTTAAAGATTTATTTATTTATTTATTATACATATAGTGTTCTACAGGCATATATGCTTACATGCCAGAAGTGGGCATCAGATCTCTTTGTAGATGGTTATGAGCTACCCTATGGTTGCCAGGGATTGAACTCAGAACCTCTGGAAGAACATCCAGTGCTATCTCTCCAGGCTCCCCCCCCCCTTTTTTTTTTTTTAGGTTTAAAGGAAGGAGGGAATAAGGAAGCTGAAATTGGGCTCAAATTGCAAAACTAAGAGTTGGGCAGCCATACCTTGGGAAAGGCAATTCCAGGAACAAGACTTTGTGAACTGTCCCACGGAAGGCCTGCCCATTGCTTATCGTGAATTGACTACAAACAGGATCTGGTTCTATGACCTCCCACTCCAAACTGTCAGAGCTTGTAAGTTCATTGACCCAGATAGGACTCTGCATTTATCCTTAACAGAGCAACTGAGGACAGGAACAGAGTGTCATTTCACGGACATGAAGACCTCGATGGAAGGAACAGGGCATTTCTGAGCAAGGGACATTAAATATACACAGCAGAATGGCTCAAAGTGATGTTTATGAAAGAGTCCTTCGCCAGTAGGAAGGTGTTTTAGCTATCTATCACTGTGAAGAGACAGCACGGCTAAGGCAATTTGCAAAAGAAACCCTATAATTGGAGGCTTTCTTAGTTTCTGGGGTGAGTCCTTCATCAGCATGGCAGGCAGGCAGGCAGGCAGGCAGGCAGGCAGGCAGGCAGGCAGGCTGCTGAAGCAGAGCTGAGAGCTCTATATCCTGATCTGAAAGTAGGAGGCAGAGAGAGCAAGGCAAGGCCTAGCTTGTGTGGGTTTTCAAAAGCTCAGAGACCACCCCCAGTGGCACACCTAACAAGGCCACACCTCCTAGTCCTTCCCAAAACAGCTCTACCAACTAGGTGTCCTAGCATTCAGATAGATGAACTTATGTGCGCACTAATATCTTCCTTCCTTCCTTCCTTTCTTTCTTTTTTCCTTCCTTCCTTCCTTCCTTTCTTTTTTGTTTGTTTTTCGAGACAGGGGTTCTCTGTGTAGTTTTGGAGCCTGTCCTGGAACTCACTTCTGTAGACCAGACTGGCTTCAAACTCACAGATATCCACCTGCCTCTGCCTCCCAATTGCTGGGATTAAATGTGTGCTCCCCTAATGCCTGGCTGATATGTGTCATTTTCATTGAAACCACGCAAACAGATGGCCTTCTCATTACTGATCATGAACTTTTTAGACCCATGATCTCCTAAAGGAGGACTGTCCTGTCTGTTTATTTACTTGGCTGATTGTTGGCTGTGCTAGGGATGAACCTAGAACCTCCACCACTGAGCTACACTTCCAGCCCCGTCTCTAATTCATTTTGCTCTTTTATTTATTTATTATTTTTATTTTGCTAGCTCCATCCTTTGGCCACTCATCTAATATCTAACCACTTCAAGGACAACTTTATTTATTTATTTATTTATTTATTTATTTATTTATGGAATGCTTCATGAATTTGCATAGCATCCTTGCACAGGGGCCATGTTAATCTTCTCTGTATCATTCCAAATTTTTAGTTTATGTGCTGCTGAAGTGAGCACCAAAGACAACTTTCTCCTCCTCCTCTTCCTACTCCTCCTTTTTCTCCAAGACAGAGTTTCCCTATATAACAGCTCTAGCTGTCCTGGAACTTGCATTGTAGATTAGGCTGACCTCAAACTCACAAGGATCCCCCTGCCTCTGTCTCTGCAGTGCTTGGATTAAAGGTATGTGCCACCACTGACTGGCCAAGGACAGTTTTTTTTATTTATGTAAACCAACTTACAGGATTGTTTCACAAGTCCAAACTACTACTACTACTACTACTATACTACTATTTCTCCTCCTTCTCCTCCTCTTTCTTCATTTTGTATGCAGTGTTCTGTCTGCATGTATGCCTGCAGGCCAGAAGAGGGCACCAGATCTCATTACAGGTGGTTGTGAGCCACCATGTGGTTGCTGGGAATTGAATTCAGGACCTCTAGAAGAGCAACTAGTGCTCATAACCACTGAGCCATCTCTCCAGCTGAACAGCTTTTTATTGACCTCTCTTATGCTAAGTTTCATTCAGTACAGGGAAATAACTCTCTCCCCTGGGTTTGTAGCATTGCTGTAAAATGAACTGCTTTCTCATCTATAAAACAAGACCTCAGCTTGGTTTGGTGGCATATACCTATAATCCCAGCACTTAGGAGGTGGAGGCAGGAAACATTGGTTGGTCATCCTCTGCTACATAGTGAGTTTGAAAACCGTCTTGCCTACATGAAATCCTGACTCTAAATAAATAAATAAATAAATAAAAACAAATACCGGGTATTGTGATGAACTTGGAAGCTGGAGTCGTCAAAATCTCTGTGAGTCTGAGGCCAGACTGGCCTACAAAAACAAAGATGACTTTTATATTAACTTTCTGTCTTTCTGTTACCTCTTACCCACTGTTTTGCCTGGGGGAACCATCTTGCCTCATCTCGTTTTCACGTAATCAACTGTTCTCGTGTAATCATCACTAGCAACTTAGTAGCATACACACCAAATGAAAAAACACAACAAGGTGGCCGCCACCCCCCAGAGATAACACCAAAGGTTGTCTTCTGGCCCATACACACAAGCATATGCCCACATCTGCACCTGAACACAGGAACGTGTACACACATACACAGATCCTATCCTCCTGGCCATAGATTATTAAATCCAGGACACACATCAGTGTTAACTGATTTAATCAGATTCTCTCTGCTAGGAATGTGGAACTTGAAACTGAGACGAAGATCCTGAGAGCCCTTAGGCTGAGTTCCATTAATGTCAGCACGTCAGAGAAGGCTGTCCATCATCTACATCTATAAGAGTCCCTGGAGATGCCCTATTCCTACTCTTCCTAGTCTGTGCTCAGTGAGTGTTTGGAGACCAAGGGCTATCTTGGCTGCTGTCCAACACGAACTATCCTTTCCCCTTTAAACTAGCCAATGTCCTTTCTCTTACAGCCATGTGTCACATAACATTTTCAGTCAGTGATGGATGGCATGCACTCCAGTGGTCCCCTAAGAGCCTTACTTCTGTTGATGTCAGAGCCTCTTGGTTTGTGTAACTTCTCTATGCAATGCTTACACAATGTGAAAATGGTCTGCAGTGCAGGCTTCAGCAGTGCATGGTTGTACTTTTAGCCAAAAAACTGATTTGGTGATCTGAAAATCAGGCAAAAAAAAAAACAAAAACAAAAAACAAAAAACCTACTTCCATGCTCCAGTGATGCTGGAATGCTACCAGTGTTTAGATCAGCAATGCAACAGACCCTTCCTCTTTAGGTTTTCCATAGTCCCTCTGAGGGCCAAGGCAGCATCGAGCATTGTCTTCAATCCTTGTGGTGTGGCAGCTCTTATTGGCTTTTGCAGCTATTTTGAACATTTGCCTCTACCACTAATTGCAAACCCTTTCAAATCAAGAACAAGAGTTTGCTGTCATTTTAGTCCCTGGCTCTTAGCACAGAGCCACAAACATTATTTAAAAAGAGCACTTGCTTTGCCTATCTTCCTCCCCCTCTCTGTTGATATCACTGACTCAGTTTCTCTTTTTCCTTTGTGTAGACAACTCTCCTTCACCCTTTCTTATTTTCCTTGTCCTCCTTTTTCTCCTCCTCCCCCCTTTTTTTTTGCCAGTCTTTCATTCCTTTATCCCTTTGTGTGTGTGTGTGTGTGTGTGCTCGCGCGTGCATTCACTTTTTGTTGTTTCGTTCAGTTTTTTGAGACTATGTTACCTGACTATGCTGGAACTCTCTATGTAAACCAGACTGGCCTTGAACTTACAGAGATTCATCTGCCTTTGCCTCTTGAATGCTGGGTTGAGATAAGATTTCATGTAGTTTAGTTTGGCCTCAAATTCATTATGAAGCCAAGAATGACCTTGAACTCTTGATCTCCTGCCTCTACTTAATAAGTGCTGGGATTACAGATGATGCCCCCTCCCCTCTGCATGCCTGTATAGGGGGTATGGCTTGGTTTGGTTTTGTCATGCCACTGAGCTTTACCCCCCCCCCCAGTATTTTATGTTATTTTTTCCCTTAGGGAAGGTTCTCAGCTGGGTGGCTCACACCTTTAATCCCCATACTTGGGAGGCAGAGGCAGAATCTGAGTTTGAGGCCAGCCTGGTCTACAGAGCAAGTTCCAGAGAAACACCCTCTTGAAAAAAACAAAAGAAAGAAAGAAGGAAGGGAGGGAGGGAGGAAGGAAAGAAATGTTCTCATTAAGCTGTTTAGGCTGGCCTTGAACTTATTTATGTCGCCCAGGCAAGGATCTAACTTGAGATCCTCCTGCCTTAGCCTCCAGAGTGCTGAGATTACAGCCATGTGTCACCACACCTGGCCTCCTTCACTCTTCAGTCCACGGTTTCAGGTTGGGAGGAAGGGGGTCTAGAAGTAATCACATGGTCACTATTCCATCAGAAGCATGGTAAACCCAAAGGGGACAAGGAGTATCATCATGTCTAACACTCCAGCTAAAAGGATCTGAAAAGTAATCCCCAGCCCACAGGGATGCTCCTAAGCCATAAGCCTGCAGCTGTTGCCAGTCATCTATACCACCACATGGCAAGCGTGTGCTTTATTTACAGACTAATGCATGGTAACACAGGAAAAGACACAAGAGGGCTATACTTCTGGTTATATTTTACCAGAACCTGATATAATATTGGTCACATCTGGACTCGTTTGAAGGAAGTTTCTTTCCTTTTTTCCCCCCTAGAGATTTATTTACTTATAAATTTTATTTTGTTTTTATTTTATGCCTGTAAGTAAGTATGTATGTATGTATGTATGTATGTATATGTACCAGGTGCATCCCTGGTGCCCTCAGAGGCTAGAAAAGGGCATCAGATCTCCTGGAACTAGAGTCACAGAGGGTTTTGAGCTGCCATGTAAGTATTGGGAATTGGACCCAGGTCCTCTGGAAGAGCAGCAAGTTATTGGTTTTTACTATGTAACATGTGCGTTTGGATATAGATACTTGGATAAGAGTGCAAGCCCCAGGAGGCTAGGGGCCCACTGCAGCTGATGTTAGCAACAGATATGAGGCACCCAACATCGATGCTAGGAACCAAACCCAAGTCCTCTGCAAGAGCAGTATGCTTTCTCCTAATTGCTGAGCCAACTCTGCAGTCTGAAAGTTTTCTATTATGGGAATCCCTCTGGGTATATGTTTAACTTCGGTGCTTTGTCTGTTTCCAGAGGTGAGTTTAACCCACTGGTCACACAAAACATCTCTCTCTAGCTCTCTCTTTCTCTCTCTCTTCACACACACACACACACACCACACACACACACACACACACAGAGAGAGAGAGAGAGAGAGAGAGCTCAAACACAAAGAAAAAGTATGTAAAAATAAAAGGGCTGAGAAAATAACAGTATTTTTATGCACAAGACCCTGAGTTCAATCCTCAGTACTCACATAAAAATGCCTGGCATAGTGACATCTATTTGAAACCCCAACACTGAGGAGATAGTGGAGCCTAGTCTAGCCTGATTGGTGAGCTCCAGACCAATGAGAGACCCTGTCTCAAAGTGAGTAGGATTTCTGAGGACAACACCACCAAAGGTTATCCTCCAGCCTCCACACACACCCAGGTACACTTGCGAATGAAAACAGAAAAATAAGGACTTGGAAGGTGTCACAAGGAGACCTGGCAACTCAATTTGAGGCTATAAAGGGACTACATAGGTTCACGGTGACATTACACCCTGACAGACAATTTCCATACTTGATTGTCTCGGTGCAACCATTGGAATTAATGCCAGTGAGGACAGTGACTTCACAAGCAGCTGGTGGAAGATACCATGTAATTATAAACCTCAGAATGCCATAGATTCCTACTGGTAGGCAGTAGGATGTTTAATCCAATGCCTATGACCAGCTGTCCCTTCCTCATTGTAGTGAAAGGAAATCTTTCTGATTCTGGAAGAGCTTTGGGGCACAGGGAGGTAAAGGAGGAATGACATGGGGTGTCATGGTACCCAGCAAAAGCAACTAGTCAGAGAATCAGGAATACACCAAGGAAATGGCCGGAATGGAACTGGGTGAGAGTGACTAGCTTAAAGGGAGGGGCTAATGGGAGACAAAGGAAAAGCTGATGCGTGTGCAAACTGGGAATGGCTGGGTGTCTCGGGGGATATCCTTCACAGATGCATACTTTCCTCCCAGAGTTGAGCTTTCGTTTGTCTCTCCTGGCAGATGGGAACACTGATGGCCCGGAGGCTCTGAAATTTCAGCACTAGTGTCCATTTCTTTTTGTGGGAAGCCAAGAACTCTAGACCTGTGGAATCTGCTGCTGGAGGCAGGGACAGAGAAAAGTGTGCACAGCTCAGGAAAAATCAGTCTGTTTGAGCCAGTAGCATGAGGATAGGGTACAGCCCCAGAAATGGCATTACTTTTATAACGACATCCTTCCCGAGATTCTGAGACAGGCAGAACCCACAAGATGGCAAAAGCCCATTGTTTCAGGAAATTCATAACCTGTGGGTAGGGTACATTTGCTCTAAGTAGAGGTGGTCACAGAAAATAGGTGCTTGGAGCAGGGTTGCTGGGGAATGTAAAATGCTGTGTGGGTGCAACTGGTATGTAGATGCACTCTTGTTGACATGCAGTCCCCTGGAGCAGCCTCTCATTCTCCATCATCCTCTGGGCCTAGTTTGGGGTGGGGGAATATCTGGGGGGATGAAGGCTCTGGCCACTGGGAAGTAGATTCAGACGGGACCCAGATTAAAGACTGGAACCCTTAAACAAGTTAGTGGAGCCAGCTAGTTTTGCCACTTGCCTGCAGTGTGACCTTAGAATAAACAATTGCATGCCAAAATGCTAACTGTCCCAGCAGAGGAGCTTGACACATTTACCTCCACCACCCGAGCCCACTCTAGGAAGCCAGGCAAATATATACCAAAAGTGCTCCTCCTTCCCTTCCCCCCTCCCTCCTCCCCTCCCTCCTCCCCTCCCTCCTCCCCTCCTTCCTCCCCTCCTTCCTCCCTTCATCCCTCTGTACTTTTCCTCTTTTCACTCCCGGTTTCCCATAATCCTTTAACACCCTCAGTAACTGCTTTGAACAATATAACCCCACACAGATCCTTTTAGAAAAGCAGGTTTATTGGTCCGGCTGCTCACCAGAACACAGCAACATGAGGGACTCCCCTAGAGCCCACAGGAAACTGCATCTGCCCACAACTTAGGCCCCTCCAGCCCACCAGCACCAAGGGACCTCGTCCTACTTTCCCTGCCCTCCTCGGCTTATGTGTCTTCAATCATTTGGAGGAGGGAAGGGAACCAAGAAAAAAGGAAAATTAGAAAAAAAGCAAAGCTTTGTATTGTATAAAAGGTTTGTGGTTTCCACCCCCACCCCAAATATCAATTAGCTGCAATTCTAAAAAGCAGAGTAGGGAAGATAAGTAGTTGGGGGAGAAAGAAGCAGCCTTTAGCCATCATTTGGGGGAGGTGTTGTTTTTGCTTCCGAGTAGCCTTTGCTGGGGAGGGGAAGAGGGGACCACTGTCTTCAGTAGAAAACCTGGTCAATGACTATAGAAACGAAGCCTCCTACAAGACGCAGCGCCCCGTCCCCAAATTTTTAGGTAAGTTGCCCCCAAAGGCAAGGAACTTAGGGTGAGGTCTTGGCAAGCTCCGCAGCTTTACACTAGGGAAAGATCCACGCTAAAAGCTGCTGGGAGGGAGCAAGTCAGCAAGCCCTGCTTCGCCAGCTCTCCTAGGAATCTGTTCCGGTCCTAGCACCTTGCTCTCTCTGTTACCTCCCGCCGGAACTGCTAGTTCTCCGCAGCTTGCTGCTGCCCCCTGCTGGAATCCCAATTTTCTGAGCTTGGGAAACTAGGCTTCCCAGAAGGCAGACCCTGGAAGAGAGGATCCTTTGGAACACACGTTCTAGAACTGACTGCCCTTCTGTTCCTGAAACCGTCCTGTGCCCTGAGACCCTACCAGAGTGGGATTCTTGCTTCGGTTTCTTTGTGTTGCTAATGAGGGCATTTCTTTCCTATTCTTTTCAACTGTCTTGTGTGTTCCCCTTTCTAAAGCTGTACTCATGTGCTCCTGAGTGCAGATTTTGTAGACTGCAAATGTATCGTGTCCCCTCCTCCCCCCCCTCATCACACACACACACCTATCATCCTTTCCCCGATCTCTGCTCGCCTCCTCCTGCTTACTTCAGTGAGAGACCTTTATCCAGGGTCAAGGCACATTCTGCCTCCACCCCCACCCTATTGCCTTAGGTTCCCACAAGGGCCCTCAGGTCTTCCAGTGCTCCCATGGGAGCAAAGGTCTCCCTACACGTATTCTTTCTTCTTGGTGCTTTGATCGCCGCCACCACTTCCTAAGCATGGGCTCTATCACTGATACACCCAGCCATCTCTTATTTTGAAACAGGGTCTCACTGAATTACTCGGGCTGATTTTGAACTCACTCTTTAGTCCGGACAGGCCTTGACTTTTCAATTCTCCCGCCTCAGCCTCCTAGGTAGCTGGGATAGCGAGCTGGCACTAAAAGGTTGCCCCTACAAGGGTTTTCTTTAGGAGTCGCTCTTTCCTCTTGCAGAAGGTTTGGCTTTATCTCCTGGGATGGGGATAAGGTAAAACAGCTCAGGAAGCGGGAGTGGTGCCGCTGAGTATGCAGCTATGATGGAGAGGCCGAGAGGGAGGCAAAAAGCCCCGACAGGGCCCAACTAGAGAGCTCAGAAAAAACATCCTAGACCAGAACAACCAGGGCATTGGGCCATTCTTCCTACTTCCTACCCAGTCTGTGTCCAAATGGAGGCTGCCCAAGGTGAAAAACCACCTCCCCTCGGACTAAGGCTTGTGCTCTGAAGGGATGCGCTTCCAGGGTGTGTTTTCAGCTTAGAAAAAGCTCAACCAGAATGGGGCTGAGGACAATGCAAAATAGAAAGTTTGAAGAGAGAAAGGAGGTGGGCAGGGGTGGGGGTCAGGGAGCGGCAGGGTCAGGCACAGGGTCAGGCACCCGCCTCCAGGGCAGAGTCCTGCTCAGTCGCTGTCGCTCTTGTCCACCAGGACGGCGTCTGACTCTTCCGTGATCTCCAACAGCGTATGCACGTCGGGGCTGCTTCCGCGCAGCAGGTCGGTGGCCTCGCCGCGCTCCGCACCAACCTCATCATCATCGGGGCCCACCTCCACCATCTCGGTGGCCTTCAGCACCTCCACCTCGCCCTCGCGGATCTTCTTGACGTGGAAGGTGAAGGGTGGCACCTTGTAGACCGCGGTCTTGGAGCGCGCGTACACCACGTGGTCGGGCGTGAAGGACTTGCGCAGCTTGTCGCGTGACGTCTTCAGCTTCTCGCGTCGCTCCACGGGGACCAGGCGGGTGCCCAGCTTGTTCATGCGCTTCTCCAGCGTGTGCCGCGTCTTCTCCAGGTTCTCCTTAGTCTTCAGGCGAGTCTTCTCCAGGTTCTCGCGCGTGCGCACCTTGGTCTTCTCCATCTTCTCCTTGGAGAAGGCCTTCTTGAAGTCGTCCACACGCCGCAGGCCACTGCGCTTGATGCGCTCGGCGCGGGACTCCTCGATCACCTCCTCCACTTCCACCGCCTCGTCGGACGACAGCTCGATCGCAGCGTCCTCCTCGGGCCGCTCGCCCTCGCCTAGCTCGTCACCCTCCTTCTCCGGCAGCGCCTCCGACTCTTTCAGCGACTTGCTCACGCTCAGTTTGGCGGGCAGCTTGACTTCATCCTAAGAGGAGAACAGAACCGAGATGAGAGATGCCAAGGGAGCGGCCAGAGCGAGGGCTGAGAGACGAAACCGACTGGGTAGTGGCGATTCTGGGGAGAGCATGGGGACCTATGTTGTGAGGGTAAAATTCACCGCACTTGTTCACTCTTGAACACCCCAGTGCCCAGTACAGAACTGGTCACAACCTGAGCATTGGTTAGACTCTGGTCGGCATTATGACTGTACCTGGGTTAAACATTCCAGGGATCCTCAAACCCTTGCACGTTTATGGCTACCGCTACCTCTATGATTGCTGCGAGCCATTGTGAAGGTAGTTTAACTTTGTAAATAGCAGAGCGCCCTCTGGTGCCCTGGTTTACTCGCTGCCCCAAACAAAATAGTCGTTTTGGGAGAGTTTAGAAGTTTGGAATGAGCTAGGGGTGAGTTCAAAGCGGATCCCAGGTGGGTAGTTTTAAGCTAAAGAAAGTGAGTTCTTAAGATTAAACCAGTCTCGGGGGAGGAGCGCTCTGCCTGCAGTCCGGTTTCCGTCCTTGACTTTCTCATGTTATTTGGCTCCACCAGTGGGCATCCCCTACCCCCGCATGTGAGTTAATGGAAGGAAGGGAAGATGCTGGCTGAACGCCAAGGCACTGTTTTCTCCCCGCTCTGGACATTTCTTCTGGTTCTGCATTCCCTGCCCTGGAGTATAGGGGAGGGCTGCTTTTCTACTCTTGCTTTGTTTTTCAGGCCAGTAAAGAGCCTGGAGTAGGGAAAGCGATCCTGGCCTGCATCTGAAGCTATCCTCTTCCTCTCAAGAGACCCTAGCACCAGTCCTAGTCTTGATTCTGTGGAGATCTTTCAATAACCTGACTTGGGATCGACATGTCTTCATTTTAGGGTTCCCCAAACACAGCACCACCACCAAAGAGTAGATGTGGGTGATCACAGAATGGAAAAGGGTGTGGCCCTGATCGTAAATGGAAGCTCCTACAGAGGTATTTAAGTCCAAGGAGTGAGGCGTGGGGGGGGGGGGGAAACCGACACATTTTTTTCTTTTTCTAAAATGATTCTCGGGGTCACTTTCCAGAACTGTAAAATAATCCCATCCCCTGAGAAAATGAGGCAGCATAAATTGGTTCTTCTCATAGAAAGATATACACAAGAAGAAAAAAGGGGAAAAAGAATACACACACACCTACTGGTAAGCTACCATGAAATCTTTATACCACCTGCTGCAGAAATCCCTTCCCCACACCCAATCCCTTTCCTATTCCCTCCCATTCACATCCCCTAGGGCTTCCTGGTTTACATTAGAAACTAGGAACACCTCCTCCCAACTTCCTTCCCTCCTAGTCAATAACATTAGCAGGAACACAAGAGGGAAGGCTATCTCCACGTAGTATCCCAACTGGACACCAGCTCTTTAGGGCACCAAGCCACCTCAAGGTATCTATTACATTACTACACCTCCCAGCAGGCAAGATAACCTGAGCACAAGGCATGCTGGGATTTGTAGTCTCTACTGCCATAAGTAGGGACTTAGTACTATCACTGGACTCCTAGGGCATGTGCCACCTTTCTGCCTCTTATTCGCCGAGGCATTGAAGGAATGGTTTTCTTGTACTGAGTGTAGGACGGTCCCAGCCTCTCCTAAATTCCTTCTGACTCTGAGTCACTTGCAGTCATCCTGCCTGCACCTAGAGACTGACATCATTTTAAGACTCCCTAGGATTAACTCTCTGCCTCCTCTTTATGCATCAATCCAGAATTACATCTAATACCAGCATTAAAAAAAAAAGCTAGGTGATGGTAACACTCTGGAGCCTAGTCAGAGGCAGGTGGATCTCTGTCAGTTGGAAGCCAGCCTGGTCTACAAAGCAAGTTCTAGGACAGTCAGGGCTACACAGAAAAACCCTGTCTTGAAAAACAAACAAAGAAAAAAAATCACCTCTTAGGCCAGGCTTGGTGGTGGAAGTCTTTTATCCCAGCACTCAGAAGGCCTCCTGAATTCGAGGCCAGCTTGGTCTACAAAGTGAGTTCCGGGCCATCCAGGACTACACAGTGAAGTCCTGTTTTAACTTTTTTTTTTTCTGCCTTAATTTTAAAAAATTAAAAATTTTGTCTGTGTCTCATCTCCCACACTGAACTCCCCCCATGTCTCCCCAAAGAGTAGGAAAGAACACCCCATGCCCTCTTTTACTAAGGGCAAGCAACGTGGACCAAACAAGGAATCGTCAGGAAACAGTCCCAACTCCTGGGGAACAAATGCCTGCCTCACTCCTATACCCAACTCCCACCCCCATCCCACCCCAACCCCCAAAGATGGAGCTAGCTGGTCTCCCTGACCTTTACTTTCTAGACAAAGGTCTTTGCCAGCTGAGCTCAAAAACTACAGGCTTTTCCTGCCTGCCACTTCCATTGTGGCAGTGTTGGGGAGCAGCCCCAGGGAGTGTGCTTGGCCAGGTAAGGTCCCTGGGAAATGTAACCCCTTCATGGTGGGTTTCCTCTGGAATGATAGCTTGTACTGGAGACATCCACCATCTTCTGGGTAGTGTAAGGCAAACAACTTGGCCTGAGTCCCTGTACACTGTCCTGAAGGCTGGTTCTGAACATCACCATTAGCTTTTCCCCTCCATTAGTGGATTTTTCTTTTCCACCCCCATTTCCAAGTCAGGCTTCCCTCATGACTCACAGCCTTGGAGTGCTGCCTTGGGCCCACCCAGTCTGCCTGTTGCTACAACAGCCACCAACACAATCCAAAAGTACCTCCCCTTACCCTGGGCACCGGGGTCAGGTACCTTTGTCTCACCCTTATTGCTCTGGAAGAGTGATTAGGGCCATGGAGGGGCCTTGTGGAGAGCAAGAAGGGAGGGGTCTTCCCGTTTTTATTAAACAAAACCACCACTCCCAACCATCTTGGATTCCAGAGTTACCTTTAATGATCAAGTCCAAACAAAAGCATGCACAGCTTCCCCAGCCCCTGCCAAACACACACAACTCCCCAAGCCAAGGAAGGCATCGGTCCAGGGTGGATGTAGAGAGGCCCCCAGGGAGGCTCCCACCTCTTACACTTCACCTCCCAACCCTGCTGCAGAAAAGTAAGACTTGCTGGCTGAGAAAGATCGTTTTACGAATATAATCTAATCGAGCACCCCCTATACCCTCAGCATCTCATACTTGTTAGAGAGAAGGGGCAGGTACTACCCAGCTGTGGGTAAGAGCCGCTCTTGATTTAATGCTAACCAGATCTGTCTACAGCTAGTGCTGAGACACTTGGAGCTGATTCCAAGACCCCAAATCTGCTTACAAAGCACATTAAAAAGGCTTTGCGGTGGCAGTGGCGGCACCTTTAATCCCAGCGTTGGGAGGCAGGGGCAGAAGATGCATTATGAAGGAGAAAGGAAGTGGGAGTTCTAAAAGGCCAGGACTTCTGCTTCGGGTTAGCAAGATAAGGAGATAAGACATCAACGACAGGAAGGGACTTTCTTCTACTGTAGCACCTTTCTTGACAGGGATGACGTTGTTCCCAAGAGGATGGAAATGAGTCTCAGAAGGTGGCAGGGCCTTGGGTATTAGAATGGTTTGTGGTGCTCCAAAAAAACCTCCATACATAAATAACATAGTGTATCTATAGTATTCAATTTTCATGAGGAGGTAGATGGGGGAAAAATCTACAAGGGTTTCTGGGGGGGGCAATCATGGAGAAAGAAATAAAAAAGGAGTTGAGAAGCCTTGTGCACTGGAGTCAGCTAAAATGTCTGCCCTTTGGGCCTCTCTGAGCTGGCAGCTTTTGGGCGCCCCACCCAAGGCAGGATCTGGCAAATATGAGGGATCCCTTTGCAAAACATTTTCTAAAAGAAAAATGAAGGAAAAAAAAAAAAAGTAAGTGCAAATGTTTTCCTCAGCTACAGAGAGTGGGTGAAGAGGGCAAAGAACAGCTCCCAGGCCTGGGCCTCACGAAGGCTCTCCTCCAAAGAGGTTTTGAGCCAAACTGGCCTGCCCCTGAAGGGAAGGGAGGGAGGGAGGGAGGGGAGAGAGATCAGAAGACACGCCCAGTTTCATGCAGCTTCATGCAAGCCAGCCTTCCAGCAGTTCCAGTCTGATGCTGGAAGATGCTGGAAGAGCTACAATTTAAAAAAGACATCAAGGAATACAGTTCTGTGGTTGTGCATTTGCTTGCATGCGTGAGGTCCCGGGGTCCATCCCCAGCACTAGGAGAACAAAACATCACCACCGAGGAGGAGAGGATCCCCTCTTTACTTCCCACCCCCACTGCACACATCACATTTTCCTGAGCACTGCACAATGCAAGCATTTTTCTAACACCCATTGCCAGCCCATAAGGAAGAGCAGCTTGAAAGGACAGCCCATCAAGGCACTGACTTCCATCAAGTGATGGTAGCCAGGAGGGACACCCTGTCCCCACTGGCCCTAGGGTCCCAGGAGATCCTACATGCTCCCACCAGCTGTTGGCTCCTCTGGGGTGGGTCGGGGCCCAGGCTCTGGGTAATTGGGCAGTGGGCTGGGCATCTGCTCAAAGGCTGGGCGCTCAGGTACTGTTTCAGGCTTCGGGTGAAAGGGCTCAGTCTCAGGCAGAAGGTCAAGAGGCACGATCTTGGGTGTGGCGGAGCCAAAGGGTGCGTTCGGCTTCTTCTTGGGCTAAGATGAGGAAAAGGGGTTTAAATGGCACTCGGGATGGATGGGTGCAGGGAGGTTGACAGAAAGAGGCCTCTGTGGCAATGCAGAGCTGGATCTGGTTGAAGAGGGAGAGGTTCCGGAATGGATTAGGGTGGGCCAAAACTACAGTTGAACCACTTCTTTGGGAGGGCCCTGGGGCTAAAAGGGGTGGGATGAACCCAAGCCTATGAATTAATAAACACAGCTTCAACTGAACCCCTCCCACCTCCCGCCTGTCCTCTAGAATGTTCCTCGGTGCTCTCCTTGGGCTTCTGCCTTCTACCCTTGGGATTCCCCTGTCATGCATGAGATGATTATGGCTACTGAGGGGCTGGAGAGAAGGT